GTGTAGCGGAGTGTAGTGGAGTGTAGTGGAGTGTAGTTCTGTAGTTGTATTTGTAGTTGTAGTTGTAGTGTAGTGTAATGTAGCGAAGTGTAGTGGAAGGTAGCGCAGTGTAGTGTAATGTAGTGTAGTGTAGTGGAGTGTAGTGTAGTGTAATGTAGTGTAGTGTAGTGTAATTTAGTGTAGTGTAGTGTAATTTCGTCTAGTGGAGTGTAGTTGTGTAGTCGTAGGTGTAGTTGTAGTGTAGTGGAGTGTAGTGTAATGTAGTGAAGTGTAGTGGAAGGTAGTGTAGTGATAGTGTAATGTAGTGTAGTGTATTGAAGCGAAGCGACATCCGAACCTCCAAAAGTGGTCCGAACCCCTGGTGTTTTTAACATTTTGAATTCGAAATGTCCTTCGCGCCACATCGGCATGCACTTTTTCGACATCCGAACTTCCAAAACTGGCGCGGACATGTGGTGTTTTGTACATTTTGACTTCGAAATGTGCTTCGCGCCACAACGGCGTGCACTTTTTCGACATCTGAACCTCCAAAAGTGGTCCGAGCATGGTGTGTTTTGTACATTTTGACTTCGAAATGTGCTTCGCGCCACAATGGCGTGCACTTTTTCGACATCGCAACTTCCAAAAGTGGTCCGAGACCGCCAGTTTTTAACACTTTTGACTTCGAAATGTGCTTCGCGCCACAACGGCGTGCACTTTTTTGACATCTCAACTTCCAAAAGTGGTCCGAGCATGGTGTGTTTTGTACATTTTGACTTGGAAATGTGCTTCGCGCCACAACGGCGTGCAATTTTTCATCGCTCCTCTGGCCAGCCAAATCATTGGAAAAAACACAGTGTTTCGCGACTTTCCTACCTTTTCGCGCATCTGTATCTTCTGTCTTCGTACTCTTTCTCTTCTGATCTTCTCTCTGCTAATCTTCCTCTTCTCTCTGCCTCTGCCCTGCTCTGCTTTTCATCGCTCCATATTGTCGGAAGTTTGACTTCTAAACTTCCTTCGATTAATATGTAGCATTATCATGATTCTCCATTCTGATCCTATTATCGTTGGATTGGTTTAAGGCAACTTTCACAGGAACCACCTATTTCATGGTAAAACAATGTAAAACATGTAAAATCAATGGTGTTTTTCCGGCGAAGACGTTCCTTTAATCCAATCCAATGACATTAGCAATGATCAGAATGGATCCAAGATATTCTAATAATTATGTAAAATGTCAATAGTATGGAGCAGAATGGATTACTTCTTCGCAATCCAGCATGATTTCCAATAGTGGTGAGATATTCATTAGCAGGATATCAACTGGGTCTAAGAAATGGTTTAGTAGTACTGGTTGGCGGATTGGCTGTATTTCTATTTTCTCCCCTCTTTGGAGGATTGGTGGCTGAAACCACCAATCAGACTGGCTGCAGTGTGGAGTGGTGCTTTGGAAGCAGTCAATTGACCAACACAGGGCAGGCAGACACAGAAATAGTGGTTCCTCTATCCGGTGATTCGTCGTTTATAAATGTTTATAAGAGATTTTCCATTGCCACATTGGGCTTGTCAAGACTCCATGTTGAGCCAATGCTTGGTTTTACCTCATACATTATGGGTGTGTCTGTTTCAATGGGAGCTACCAATTTATGATGATTTATGGCAATTTCAATGGGGAACTTCTGATTCCAGAAGTGGTTCAGGGGGAAATCTAGAACCATCTAGAACCTGAAAAAAAATTGGATGAAACCCAAGAAACCCATGGTTTCCTATGGATTTTCCATGGTTTCCTATGGATTTTCCGCCTTTCTTTCGGGCGATCAGACACACCAGCCACACACAGCGAAATCGCTGGCCAGGTGCTGCGGCTCCGTTCTCAGCTTTCGGAGATGCAAGCGAAAGGACACGGCTTCATCCATGGCTTCCATAGCTATCAAGATTTTTACCAATCAAAATGTGAGATCAATATTTAAAAAATGGTCCATAGTGACTATCCGGTGGTGGAGCCGAGAAGCTATGGGTATCCATATTTTCCATCATTTCCCATCATTTTCCCTATATAGTAATACATGGGGAGCATTGCGGAGCTGCCAACAGTTTTTTATTTCAACCATGCGATAGGTAAATCAGGGGTAATTCATCAAAAAAATCCCAAGAAATCCCAGCTTTTGATGCTTTTGTAGGTCAACGGAGTCAACGCTCTATTGCCCCAGTCTTGGTGAACCAGGAGTCGAGCTGCAAAGTGCCCTGGAGAAATCACAGGAGGAGCTGCGCCAAGCAGCCGAGGGCCTAGGCGTTGATGGGGTCCTTAGAGATCCTGTCATACCTTACACAAACTATTTAAGTCTATTTAAGATACTTAAAGGATCTTATAGATTCTTTTATTTTTAAAAAAATGATAGCGTTCATATATAATTTCCGATAATTTTGACCGGGTGGCGATGAATCACCGCAAGTGTCTAGAGGAGTCGCAATGATCGTAAAGAGGAACATGATGATACCCATGGCCCATGATATCTATGAATGATGACTATTTCTCACTATTTCTCTCTCTCTCTATATATATATGTGTGTGTTGTACACACAACCATTATTTTCAGGCATTCCCACATTCCAGGTTTGCTTCGGAGTATATGGCTGCAACCGGCATGAGGTCGGAGACGTGGCCTACTTCAAGGCTCTGGTTTCGGACCTATCCCAATCTATTCAGCCTGAAAATTTACAGAGAACACCAAAAAAAATGGTATCTGGTTGGTGGTTTGGAGCATTTTTATTTTTCCATATATTGGGAATAATCATCCCAACTAATATTTTTCAGAGGGGTTGGAACCACCAACCAGGTATTAATTAGAGTTTTTTCGACGATTTCAGCATCTTTCAATGCCGGACATTGTGATTCGAAGAAATAGAGTTTCATGTCAGATTTCGGGTGTATGCCCCCCCCTTGGGTAGCAAAAGAATCTTGAATCCCTTAGCGTCAACCCTGGATGAATAAAGCCGCTGGGCTGTTTAATTGGGGAGACCATGTGATTAGCAGATCATCATTATTTGGGGTTACCTCCGCGTAATTGATACAGTCTAGTAAACATTAATAAACTATGGTGTATTGATCGATGGAAACATTGCAAAATCATCTATCTATCGATGTAACTGATCCTTTCTGCCAGCGCAGGTGCTACTGGATGAATCAGGGAAGGTCCCTGCGCCATTCCTACCTTCGCTGGTTGCCTTTTGTTTTGTACTGATGAGTTCCATGCGGGGGCTGTTGCGAGGGTTTGGAGATGCCAGTTATGCCCATTCAAAAAACAATCGCAGGTCACCCGATTTCTCTTTCGTGATCCAATTCGAAAACACTTTCCATCCTAGGTACCGGTGATGGCTGGAGAAGCCCTGGGTTTGACCATTTTGACCCACCATTAACACCCGCATGGTGTTGATTCTTCCCGCCGGTGGAGCTCAGCGGTTTGCTTAGCGCGCAACGGCGCGCCGGCGCTTGGCGCCTTTGGTAAAAAGGCCTCCGGGGGCTCAGCGATTTCTGGTGGATGATCAAAAGGCTGCCCTTTTTAAAGGGGACAAGCCCGGGACAAGTTCATTCTCAGTCAGTTGTAGGCTGATTCTGGAGGAGACCATTTTTTTGGTGCAAATTGCGGTAGTTACTTGTGATGCATGGACACATGGCAGGGGCCAAAGATGTGTGGCGTGGAGCTAGCCTTGAGCCATTCATTGATCACATTTTTGGTGCAGGTTGACACTCGATTGGTGCAGCACCATTAGAAACAAGACCGCACCTATAAAATGTATGAAAATGTCACTTAAATGTCACTTAACATTGAGCTATATGCTATATGATGCTATATGCCTATAATTGCCTATATGTCCATTATATGGACATGCCAAGCCTCGAGATTCATGATACTCACGGGCACTGAAAGCACTTGCCGTATCTATCCGTAGGCCAGACTTCGTAGGTTCTGGAGCCCGTTCCTCAGTGACAAGCTGGGACGCAATGTGTGGCAGAGCATTTTGACAGGTAAAACATGTGGGATTTCTGGGAACAAGGGAAATGCATTATGCAATGATTTCATAATATATATATATATATATCTAATTATATATACACACATACATACAGTATATATTGATATATATATATAATATAATATATATATATATATATTGTGGAAAATATACTGCATTATATATTTTGTTTAGTCACGGCTTTGAAACATGTGGGATGGGCACCAAAGCTGTGAGATGGTGGGTCATGGATGTCATGGTCATCTATTTCCTGCAGAAATGGTCAGGTTCATTCAAGTCCACATGTTCAATAGTGTTTTGCGTACCTGGGAATAATAAGGCCAGCCCGCGCAGCCATGTGGAGATTCCGATGAATCTGGGCCAAAAAATGGTCAGAGACCAGAGACAATTCGCGTTGACTCCAGCAGGCATCAGATTTATATTGGAATCATCGAGGTTGCATCTCAAGCTTTTTAAGGATGTTTCGCCCTGACTTTTGGGAGCTGGATGCCCAAACCATATCATACCATATCAAGAGACTACTACTGAGGGAGAAACACGGCTTTGTCACGATGCGGCTGTCGCTTTTCTTGCCGGTCGAACCCCCTCATGAACTCAATGATACCGACGTTGGCGCGGCTGGGAGTGAACAACATTAGTTTCACTACACGACAAAAAGTTACCATCATGGCAGGATAATGGTCTCTTACTAGCCACGTCGGATGATCTACTGTCAAATGCGAGATCACAAGCCACTTTATCGGGCTTCACTGTGCATGTGAAAGAACTCAGCTGCTGTTCATTATGTGGATATAATATGATAGAATATGATAATATGTGGATAACATATTGAGTAATATATGTTGATATGTTTTGGGGCGTTTTGGGGGATGAACATCCATAACTACTCGCTACTTTTTGTCTTCAGACCATGGCTTTCCATCGAGCTCGCAGCTCCCCCCAAGCCACAGGTGATCTCCGCTGCTTCCTGTAGGCCTCGGCTCGAACACGGAGCAAAAAAAAACCCATGGACGTGTGACGATGTGCATATTCTATGCCGCCCAAACCTCCGAAAGAGATTGCAGGTGGTGTCTGGGCGAACAGAATGGATTCAGCCTTGTGGTGATTGGACAGGTTTGATCTCCTGGTAAAATTAAACATAGCTAATTGCAAATCAACATTTTTAATAGGTAAATGGATGTAAATGGTAAATCATCAATAAATGGGCAATTGTCCATAGCTATGTTGAATTGCTGCTGGGTAGTTAGTTGTACAACCTCATACGATCTAATAGTTTTCCATGTTTGGGATGATGCACCCATATTGAATCATATGAACTTGATAGACTTCGATTGACTAATATTTTTTGGAGGTGTTAAAACTACCAACCAATTTTGGGCTTTCTGCAGCCCCGTGAGCTTTGGTGTCTTTTTACCTGCCGAAGATGTACCAAGGGCTGTCTGGAGGAGTCAGTGCTTGTTTTGGATGTTGGACCTCTGTGAAGGTTGAAGCCGCACCCAGTGCTGGAAAGAGTAGGGCCGCCCTACTCAAACAGACCATGATTCATGGGGTATTATTGGGGAGGTCCGATTTCTGCCAAAGCCACGGCACCCTGGTTTTGTGTTTTCAATCTCCGTTGTTTGCTGCGTTTCTATCCACTCTTGATTCTTACATATTCTTACCGTGGATCTCCATCCTTCAGTACAGAATTGGATGAAGGGAAACTTTAGCGAACCCCCTGTGACATTTCACCAACCCAATGACACCCGCTTTATGTGTATCAGAATGGGACGCCCTGAAACTTAGATGACTAAGTGTTTTTTGGGCCTTAAATTTGACTCACAACTTTGGAATGATGATTCTGATCAATTCTGGCTGGTTACTGTAAATCAGCTTGGACCCCCCCTGATTGCAAGTCATATCACCATGTTTCTATATGTTTCTACTAAAATCCCAATGAAACTTTGAACACAGGGTAACAAAGCCTCATTCGTTCAACATCACCCAATCATTCCCAAGAAACACCTACTGAATCCCAATAAAGCCCTCAGGTCGCTTCGAGATTCAGAAAGCCCTCGGAGCGGGATGTTTTGGCCAGGTTTGGAGAGGCCGGAAGTGGGATCCAACCATATCCAAACATCACTTGTACCCTCTGGTAATTTAACATAGCTATTGAACATGGCAATTTATAGTGGATTGACCCATTGAAAATGGTGATTTTCCATAGTTATGTTAGTTTACCAGAGGGTATTTGCTGATGATTCGTTCTTTTTCCAAATGGGAAATCCACTACGACTGGGGAATCGAAACAGGAAATATTTTGGGTTGTTGTTGGCGTTCCTTCAGCAATCCAATTTCAAACTTGGGATCTAGCCAGCAAAGCTTGGGATTACCCCAAGTGGGATTTGCCTTCTGGTAATCTCACAGTTTGCCAAGGAACTCAACCATGTCTATAGTATATGATATACCCTCTGGTGAACTAACATAGCAATTGAAAATGGCCCAGTCGAAATAGTGGATTTTCCCATTGAAAATGGTGATTTCCCATTAGTTATGTTAGTTCACCAGAGGGTAAATCATCGAATCAAACTCTGGGATTTTCCAATAAAATGACCCCATATGACCCCCGATAATAGGGGCAACGTGGATCCACGTTTATTGGTTCAACACACCTTACAGAAAGTTCCCAAATGGCCGAACTTGGTCAGCTTGAAGAATTAGAATTTATGTCCCCAGAAATGGGGACGAACGGGTAGGAATCGAAATAATCAACACACACACATGAAGATGAAACGTGGGGATTCTTACTCTTCTGCATTTATTTTTTAGGTGCAATCTTTACCTGCCAAATGGATATGGTAGCTCAAAAATTAGATGCTGAAAATGTCAACGTTTCCACTGGATTTTACGATTGGATTTTCCTCTTTTGCATTCTTTCTCGGGGTTGCTATAGGCCTAAAAGCGAAATTGTTGTTTCAAGGGGGGCAACCAATAGAACTAGGGGTTGATGTACGGAGATGTGTGGCATTGTTTGAATGGTTAATTATTGAACTTTATTGATTATGTTTACACATGGATGTGGAAGATATTTCACCAAGATGGGGATGGAACTTTGATCATTTTATGGGGATGTAATGGGGGTATAAAGAAGATCTATGATTCAAATTGATTCAGCGGGATTGCCTTCCCTCCACAGAGCCAAAACCCAATGGGGTTTGGTCTATATGTGGTGGGATGATGATAAGCTGAAGCCAATCCAATAGAGCGATGCCTTGGTGTTCCATATGCTTACTGAATCTTAATATCAGCCGAGGCATGTGGTAAAAGACTTGCTTAAAAAATGAGGGTAAATCCCCCCTGCGACTACTTGGAAGATGACTTCTGCCAAGAGATACCCTAGGTACCTAGTTTCACCATGTTTCACACATATCCCGACTTGCTTTGGTAATGAAACCAGCGTGGTAGGCAGCCCGCAGACCAAACTCCCTTCGAAAAACTAGGTGGTGTTTCAAAGTTTCATGCTGTTTCTAGTTCTTTGTTTGCCTCATTAGTTTATGCACCATATCACCATACGGTTGCCCTCCTTGCCACCGGTCTGCCCGTTGTTTTTCGCCAGGCATTGACAAAGAGTTAGATAATGCCGCTTGGCTGATGATGGGGCCTGGCCTGTTGGCAACTCACCGAAAAAAGCGGTGGCATATCGAATACCCACAGTTGATCATTATATATTAATATATATATACCATCTGGTTATTTAACTGGTTATTTAACATAGCCATGGAAAATGGCCCATTTATAGATGGTTTACCTATTAAAAATGGTGATTTTCCATGGCTATGTTAAATAACCAGATGGTAGATTGAAATTATAATCATCTCATCATCAACCAATGGTGAAATGATATCATTGAAAAATTACCAAATCATCATAATCATCTACCAATGCGGAATTTGCATAGTTTGAAAATAGATGATTCATGGTTATCATCAAATCATTTCCCAACGGGGAATTTGCATAGCGTCGGATTACTGATTTCAGACCTGGATCATGATGCCAGTTGTTACATCTTGCATCTCCACAAGGAGATGGTGGCCATCAAGTTTGAGGACAACCAAGCGAAAGGGAATCCCAACCAGCTGAAGACGGAATATGACCTTTGGCTGCGAAATGGGCCGCACCGACATCCTGGAATCCTACATCTTGGGCTTGGGAAATGGGTGAGGCTTCCACCATCAGATCTTCCGGGCCAAATTGGGGCAAGCCATTCTGGGCCATTCCCGAATGGGGACGGGTCAACCAAGACCTATGTGCCCATTTTTTGAGTCTGAACATGCATTTGTATGCATTTGTCACCTGGGTTGGTGTTCAAGCCAGAGTTTTGACGCATACCAATGTTGTATACACTGTTGAATGCGGGTTTCGTGCTGGCTGGTCCCTGGTCCCTTGTGGCTGTTGCTTCTTTGTCCCGGCTGCAGAAGGCTTTTCAGGGTCCATGATGATGACGACGACGATGATGATGATGATGCTGGTTGTGGTGGTGATGATGATGATGACGACGGCCGTAGCTTTCTGTGAAGACTTTTCTTGCCCAGGGTTTCAAAAGGGTTCCACTGGTGGATAAACCCGTTGATTTTGAATCAAGTACGAACACGTGTTTCTTTGAGCTGCAATTTTAGCAGTTTTCTCGGCCTTGTTTAGGCCCTTGTTTACGGGCCCAAGTCAAGGCCCAAACACAGATTTCAACTGATTTTAACATATTATCAGGCATACCATCTATGGAGCATTCAGCTTGCCGCTCCCCGTCTTCTGCAGGGTTGATCCAGCATTTGAAAACTTGTATACCCTGGCTTGGCTGGAGGCAAACCTATGGGAAACCATGAGTTTTCCAGCCCCACTGGAGGGTTTTGGACCATTTTGGACCACTAAGGATTTGCTGCGGATCGTGAGTGCAGCAGATCCCCATGTGCAAGGCTTCTCGAAAGCTCACATGCCACTGGGCGGAAATGGTGGGGGTATCCCCCAATGCCATTTTGGATGACACTTGCATTGTCAAAGTTGTAAGGTTCATTGAAGAAGTCGATATTCCCACAGATGCATTACAGATGCTCTAATTTCCTGATTCTTTTAGATTTTAGATTGCCTCTTTCTCTTGGAAGCAACCAGGGTTTTTGGCTCACCCGGCGCTGCAGGTATGGCGTTGAAGGACGCTTTAGTTTCCTGGTCTGGGGCTCAGAACTTGCAGAATCTTGCAGAACTTCATGGTCTTCAGAGTCTTTGGGCTGGTAAACAAGCCATCAAACATAGACATTCCAAACGTTTCCCAAAGCGGTTCCTGTTCGTCGGAGATCCCACTTGACGTCCGACGGACGATACGGATGAGGCCATGACCATGTTGGGCCGCTCGTTAGAAGATCGCATGCATCAGAGTGGCAAGAAACTCACCCCGCAGAGCGTGGTACCTTGGATGGAAATATGTTTTTGCAAGCTCCGGTTGAGTTTTAAAAAAACAAACATGGAAAACCCAACCAATTATTTGATGGGAAAAAACGATGGTTTCCTATGTTTCCTGTAGATTTCCTTGGAATCCATGTTGGGAGTATTGGTGGATCGGCGGATGAGGGGGGATGGAAGACGGCGCAAGTTTTGGTTGGTGTAAGGAGGTTGACTTGGAAAATCGTACCAGTATTATACCAGTATTCCATATCTGACATAGCCGTGGGAAAATAGCGATGTTGAATGGATTCAGTATTAGAAGCTGCATGGTTCTGGAGAGTTCATTTCCATGGCTACAGTATGTTAAGTTCCCAGGTCGCCTCCATCAAAGCTGCGCCATGTTGGACTTTTCTACTGGGGCTATCCAGTTCCCAAAAAGGTCACGGTGATGCCACCAGACCAATCCATACACATTTCAACAATAGGCCTTACAGGGTATATGTTTGCAACACTGCTCGGTGTTGTGCTAGGAGAAAACATGAGAAAACAATGGAAAACCAAGTCCACCACATCCCATTTGAGGTGCTGATTGCCGACCAAGTGCTCCGGCGGATGGAATTTCTTCATTCTTTGGGTTTGATCCATCGGGTTTCTGAGCTGCAGATTTTTTGGGTGTGTTTGAAACGTGGGACTTCACCAGAAATGAACCCACATTTATAATCATTTATATTAAATCAATTTAATATAGGAACATGAGGACCTGTTACCATGGGGTTTATATAATCAACCCCCATGGCTATCATCAAAACTATGGGATTTGAGAGTGCCATCCCAGCCATGAGCTGGATCCCCTAGCGGCAATTCGATCATCGATTAATCATGGAGAACATTAATGATATTAATGGAAAATCAGTAAATATAAACCAGTATATAAACCAGTTAATATAAACCAATTGTTAAAGGGAAACAGGTTTTGATCATCGATTTCCATGTGCCAAATTTTCGTCCAAATTTTCCCCACCGCCGACCCGTTCCGCACTGAGGATATCAAGCCAGAGAACTTCCTGCAGCTTCGCTGCACAGGGCAGGCAGTCATCCCCAAAAAGAAAGTTGACCAATTCCTACTGTGACAGTGCCACTATTTTATTTGGCTATTGGAGGCTATTGGATTTCACTTTCTAACATAATCTAACAATATCTAACATACTTGTTGGCTATTGGATTTCAATATACCCTCTGGTAAACTAACATAACTATAGAAAATCACCATTTTTAGTGGGTAAATCCACTATTTCTATGGTCATTTTCAATAGCTATTTTGACATAACCAGAGGGTATCAATCCCATTAAATCCCATTAAATCCCATTAAATCCCATTAAATCCCATTAAATCCCATTAAATCCCATTAAATCAATATTTCAATCCAACTTAAACAAACTGCGAAGAGACCCTGGCTATTGGGCAAACCGCCGAGGTTTGGGGTGGGGCCGCGCATCCATATCGTCTATGTCATTGACTTCGGCCTGGGCCGGAGGCGCCGAAAAGGGAGTGACGATGGGAAAAACCCGACAGAGAGAGATGGGAGATATTTTATCCATAGTATGTAAAACATAATATAATGTAATATATAATATATGTATACATATATATGTTTATTTATTTATTTTTTAGATATTTATTTGTTCATTTATTTATTTGTTCATTTATTTATTTGTTCATTTATTTATTTGTTCATTTATTTATTTATCTGTGTGTATTTATACAATAACATGTTGATAAACCATGTGTTTCGTACAATAGGGATATGAACAGCTATCCATCCAACGTCCAATGTGGCTGCAGTATATATGTCAATACCCTCTGGTAGTCAAACATGGCTTGCTGGAAGATTCCCGATTTAGTTCGATGATTTTTCCAGCTATAAACTTTCATTTAGTGCTTATTTAGTTCGGGGATATCTAATTGTCATGATTATGTCTAGTCGGGATATGAATGGTATAATTAACCAACAATATGAATCAATATGAGAACCTTAGGTGCATCTGAAAATGAGGTATACCTTCGACAAACTATGACAAACTTACATGGAATCCCCATCAAAAGTAGCAGTTTTGGAGTAGGACGATCATTTTCCAACTTGTTCAATTGGTGGTACCCGGGGATGACATCGCCTGCAGGTATTGGCGGGACAAGCGGCACGCCCCAATGAGGCAAAACCGTTGGTGGGGCCATGGGTAGAAAGTTGGGCTTTGGGATGTGATTGCCCATCTCAAAATATCTCAAAATATCTCAAAAATATCTCAAAATATCTCAAAATATCTCAAAATATCTCAAAAACATGTGGTGAACACAAAAAAAACGTTGGATGACTGGATGATCGGATGATGTTGGGGTCTGATCAGGTCTGATCATGGGATCCCGTGGTTGATCTCACCCATGTGCAGGACGTTGCAGACCCTGACTGGAACCGCACGCTATGCCTCCATCAATGCGCATAAAGGCCCTTGGCTGGTTGAGCATGGCAAAGGAATGCTGGTTGCGGCAGGGTTGGCGATGGTTTGCGGATATCGTTCACTTTCCAGTGAAATGATGATCCCCAAGGACGAATATTGGGTTGAAGCCATCAATCATAATTTGGTCCGGAAACAGCGCTTTACCTTGCAATTAGCCTAGCCTGGCAATGGATGTCCTTCTTTCGAGGGCGATTTTCCCAGCGCAAAAATAGATTTTAAATATATAATACTTTTTAAATCTTTTTAATTCCTTCCGGAGGCTAAATTTTTTCGATGTATACGTGCATCCGCCTTTTTTAATCCTTTTTCGGTGTGGCTGCATATTGTAAGAGACAACATCAGTTGAATCTGTGTGCTAAAACACTGAACACCCGCAGAGCAATGCTGGGAACCATTGGCGGCTGGTTGCCGGGTGAGTTTATACTGTCTGACGATGATGTATTACCATTTTTTCATATTTTTTCCTCTTAAATCAATCCACGATACATTGATCGAACCCTGTTTTGAACAGCAGGGCGTTACACCTTGGGTGTCAGGTATGGAGCAAAGCCGGCGTGACGACTTGCAGGTTCCCAGGGAGGCTGAGGCAATAGCTATAGCTATATGCCCCCCACAGTGGGGTATCAATAGGCCCACGCAACTCTTACATTTTTTTGCTCATCATTTTGCTCATACTGCGGGTTCATAGTGGAAATCATATACTGTACTGTACTGTATCCCACAAATGCATGGAAAGGGCTTATATATGACATACCAGTAGCTCAACTTTGTGATATAATGTGGTTAGGCCAGTAGTCCAAGAAAACCATGTGCTTGGGTGCGCCATTTTGGCGGTATCTGGCGGGGCGTGAAAAACCTAGCAAAACGGGGGAGTATACCCTTCGAGAAACAAACATGGTAATGGAAGATCCCGTGTTAATACATACAGTAGATATAGATATAGAATAGAAGATATCTTGTTCCAAGTGATGTCAATCATTGCTAATCACTGTATGGTCTAGATTCCCCAGAGGCCGTTGAGTTTGCCATCAGTAATTTCACCGTACCAAGAAAAGGGTGGGGTCCATTTCATTTGGAAACTGTTGGGTTCCAACAACCGTTCCAACAACCACTAAGTGAAGCGTTCATTGGGGGGATTCACCATTGTTACTGGATTTTATTGGTTAACCTGCTGACAGTCAGACAGTCCAATATGTCCAATATGTCCAACGCCATGGGTTCCCATTTTTTTTCGTGGCTGAAGCCCTGATTTTTCATCGCTCATAGCCGTGCTCCCTTCAGGCAGTGGCACACATGCTGCTCTACCTCCTGAGAGGTTCGCTCCCCTGGTCCGGCCTGGAAGCGAAAACGCAGGCGGGGCTCGTTTTTTTCCGGTGCAATTCTGCAGATGGAGGAATTGACGATGATCTAGAGCTAAAAATGCGGAACAAACACACATTTGATATCATTTGGAGGTTTCCTAAAAGCCCAAAACCCATGGTTTCAATACTAAAATGGTCAAATTTTGGATGATTTGGGGTACCATTATTTTAGGAAACCCTCATATAAATGCATCATTTTTGCTGCCAAATAGTAGCCATTGTGTCATGCTGGAACAGCTGCTTGCGGACAATTTCTCAGATGCCATCCAATGTCCCTGGCACAGGAAGAAAAGTACCGCAAAATCAGAGAATGCAAGGACGAATCATTTGTGACGGGTTGATGGAGCTGATGGAGCGATGGGTTGATGGAGTATTGATGAGACATAATATCAATAGTGAGCATAGGCCAGGCATAGATCGATAGATAGATAGATAGATATGATATGATATGATATGATATGATATGATATATAATAATTATCTTACATATATATTATAATTATCTTTCACCTGCGAAATGATTTTTAATTTATGCGGCTAGATGACAGAGTGAGGAGATCCAGCACATGAAAAATCATATAGATGTTACTAAAATAAGCAACTGGATCCTCGGCTGTCCAGCTACAACCGAATGAACATTTGTATACGTTGGCCAATAGCCAAGTCTATGGCATTTGTTCTAAAATTCTCACTGACGTCTCATGCATATGTTTACACATGTGTAGAAGCTCACAGATATGCACTGCAAACATTATATGTATGTATATATATATATTATATGTGCACCTTTTCTTTTTACATGCACGCAGAAAACTCACACACACAGATTCACATGTTATATACATTTAAATTTATATACACAGCCTGACGTATTCAGGGATGTTCTGGGTCTAGGCTCATGCCCACAGCTCCGGAGCCAACGTGGCAACTAGGAGACCTATCCCATTGATCAGCTTTGTCAGGGGCTGAGCAGATGTGAAGCCCGGTGACCATTCAGATTCATAGATTCTGTAAATGAAGGTACCCGGTGCCCCTGGAAAGGATGGAAGGAACCCCAGCCCCTGGAAATCAGATTCAAATAGGGCTTGGAATGTCATGGGCCGCCTTTTTTCACCAACAATGACCCCAAGAAATCGAGAATTCAGAACGGCCCGCCGTTCTGAGGGTACACTCCAGCAGCCTCCAGTATCTCCATCATTCCGTTTGGGTCAACCTTAATGACATATGGATAGGCCAACTGTTTGCTACAAATTGACATGTTACATGCGATTCAATCACCAAACAAGACCGTGATTCTACAGCTCTTCTTTTTGGGAAGCCAAAATGAGCCGGGAGCAGAAAAATTGGAAAATCCGTGACTAGGTCTCATGAGAGAGAGAGAGAGTGCCCTTTGAGAACTTAAAGAAGACTTTCCTATTGATTGTGGAATTACAGGTTTTGCCATCCATTGATCATTATTACATAAACCAACTTTTCTTTGGGTCAGTCTCATTTTTTATTTGGCCATTATGATATGATATGTGTTTTCCCTTTGTTTCTTCATATATTGAAGGCTATTTGTCAATGTTGTTCGAGATACTAAGATGGGCACTGGAGTGGTATAATATTATTAAGCTGCTGGTAGATGACATGTTCCCTTAATTTTGTGGGTTATCACACGTTATAACCCATTCTAACCCATTGAATTAAGTAAATTAAGTCAAACAATTGCTTTATAATCCACTCATGAAGTAGTCGTCTAACTCCATGGTTCATCTAGGTGCCGGTGTTGCGATCCGACAGGTGAAGGTCATCCTCAAGAGTTCGGTAAGTTCCTGAAGGAAGCACGAGCACTGGCGTGCGGGAACCTGGTTTGGTGAGGTGAAAACTGTTTCAGACCCTGAAAGACCCTGAAGTGACTCACTTGATGTTTTTTTTTTTTCTCCAGTATTCACTGAGATTTTTGGGTGGCCCATTTTGACCCGTACATAAAATAAGGTGAATAGGTCACTTTTCCCACCATTTTGCGCATGGAGGATTCACCAAGAAAACATGGGGGGAATGTTGATCCATCATCCCATGACGGAGTGGATCATACCCTAAATGGCCATTGGTTGAATGGAAAATCACAAGATACCTCTAAATTTAGTAATAAAACATAAAAACCTATAAAAAACGATGGTTTTGTACATGCTTCAGCTGGTTTCAGCTCTAAAAAATCCCACCAAACCAGGTGGACATAGCATCAACCAATTGTCCAGGTACACAGCTCGTCCTGATTACCTTGGATGGAGGCGACGGGTTGGTTCCGCCCTCTCAATGAAACAGTATTCGGGAGCCGAATTAGGAGTGAAATGCATTGAAAACCCCGATTGTTTTTTACATGTAACAAAAAGGTGTGTTTTTCATGCGCATTTAAAAACAACAGCAAATCAAGTGGTTTTTTCTGCGGCAATCCGGGGTCGACAAACTATGGAAATCTATGAGATATGGTCGAAGTTATTCTGTTCATTTTGGGAAAGTTCACGCAACATCCCAGGATTTTGGAATGATCCCCTTGAGCATTGGTACCAGTATCTTGTAATTATGGTCTAGTGAGACGCAAAGCACGGTGGGTTTCCCACAGTGTTGAGCCTACATCAATTCAGACTCGCAATTTGGGGCTTCAGTTGCCGAGAGATTGAGTTGAAATGTGGGTGTGGCTCAAATTGTTCATTCCCTAAAAGTCCCCAAAATGCATTATTTCCACTGATTTACCACTCAAAATACGCAAATTGATCGCTGGTTGGGTGTCCTATGTTTGACCCAATAGTAGTCCATGGTAGCCCATGGCCCCAGGAAGATGTTCGCTAATCTGCGAGCCGAAATTGGTCCTCAATCGGACTCAGACTTCGAATTCTTGAAGGGAAGAGAGACAGGCCAGGGTGATCCATGCAGGATGGCAGATATCCTCTTGGCGATCTCAAAGCTTCATGGTTGTATGGTATTGATTGTCCGCAAAGGCCGCTGGTTTCAACATGTTTCAACTATATTATATATAACTATATATTCACACACGCACGCACACACACACACATGGAATATATATATATATATGTAATTATTATACTGTATATAATATATGCATGATCAAACACACACATATACATGCTATACGCATTTATAGCTATACGCACACACACATATATACGTATATATATATATATATATATTATATACATAATTACTGTATGTCTTATGTTTATCTCTGGTATGCTGAAAATTATTTGCGATACACCCTGTCATCTGACAGTTTCTCACCGGGCGATTTTTACCAGAATGGGGTCTGAAAATGGATCATTCCCCAGTACCGATCCAATGGATTCTCATAATTGTTCCATTTTTTATCCCATTGAACATGGTTATGAACTAGTTCTTCCATGGTGAATGGGAAATAAAATACCTAGCCATGATTGGGGATTTGGCTAAAATGATCATTAGTAGTAAACCCAAAAGTATCCAAAAGTTTCATACACTAATGATGTTCCATCATTTTCCACCATTAAATCAGTGAAATCCCACCGCGAAAATGGACCGAAATGCCATGGTTGCAGGCACCCTTGACCCGATCCAAGTCTATGTGCCTTGGACATGATAAGATACTTGTTTCATTTCCAGGCTTTGCGGGGCCCCGAAAAAGCATGAAAAAGCCGTATGGCTAGATTGATTATATAGATATACAATGATATATAGTAGATGTAGATTTATATATGTATATGAGAAAAAAAAACAATCTCTACAGTATGTAGAGGATCTTTGTCGTAATTGTAGATCTTAGAAGGAGATCAGGATCAGCTTAGAGCTTAGAGAGACTCGAAGGGAAGATCACAGCCTTCAACACAGAAATTTCATGAAATTTCAGGGTCGAACTTGCAGTAGTGAACACACCAAAGTATATGTATGAGTGACATCTTCAGCATTACAAGCCGGGCTTGGAATGTTCTCCCAGCATGCCACATTCCAAGCACAATTGGGAGAAATCTGCGGTGCGGCCAGACGGAAAATACAACCGGAGCCAGAAGTGATTGGCACGGGAATTTCGTTTGTTACGCTCAACTAGAATTGGATTCTTCATCATCCACCAGAATGTGCTGCTTATAATTATTTGCCGCTTCAGACTGGGTTGGAAAGGAACATCATCGAAAGCTTGCGGTCAAAACCTCATTTGGAGTTTCAATTTTTATTGCCTTCCCAGCATTTGGGCTGACAGACATTTTATTCGAAAGAATTTCCCCACCCTACTTGTATGTCGTATAGCTATATCGTATCCATCCATACATATACACATACACATACACATATATGAGATATATATATATATATATATATATCACGCACACACACACATATATATACATACATGTGTATACAGCCCCCAATATGTTAAAAGAAAAAGGCATCTATCCCACACTTGGAAAAACGACATCTTGGGCCTCGTTTGCCCACCATTTCTCATGGGCCAGGACAGCCTGGAGCAGCCAGATGACAAGGCCTTTCCTGGGAAACTTGGGTGGCTACACTTAAACTGGTTCGTGGTTTGGAACATTTTTTTTCCATATAGTGGGAATAATAATCCCAACTGATTAGATTTTTCAGAAGAGGTTGAAACCACCAACTAGTAAAGTATCTTGTGCAAGATTTTAAGAGAAGGAATCAGACGGATCATTTGTCCAAGCCTCATTTGGTTCTATGTTAGCTTTGTGGCACTTTGTGTGTGGGCGATAGGTCAACGTTTGGATCATTTGGGAACTCACGAAATGGGATGATAACCATGCATCGTTTCACTGCAAAACTGACTATGGCCCTTGGCTCTGGAATTTTGACGCATATATCCGTATCCATCTCATTTGAAGGATTTGATGACAATATTTGACACCTGGAATCCAGATTTCCATTTTGGGATTTGAACCTTCCCTGATTTGGATTCCTTCCAAGTTGTGATCATTGACCGTGAGAAATTCCTGCAACGGATGCAATATTTCATAGTTGAATATAGTTGAAGGATCCATGTTCCCGTGCCAACTCGAACCCCCCCAAAAATCCCCCCACCGGTTGGCTTCATAGTTCCGTGTTTGGGGACCTATATGCCGCACAGCACACTGTACCATTTACATCCATTGACCATACTGGCCATAACATTCAAGAATTGCTGTTTAGAGGCTAGACATGGCTAGACTAGACCATACTTCAGCGCTTTGTGCCAGGAGGATGCCAGAAAACCCGAGAGTTCGTGCTGTAGCATTTCCTAACCACCGTCATCCGGTGCGGCTTCAGTAGCTGTCAGGGTGCTGAGCAGATTTTCAAAATATATCGGATCCGTGGTTGATAAGTATTAGCTCCTGAGCACTATGGAGCTCAGAAATGAGTTTGACCATTCTTTGCAAGCAACCCGCTGCCAGTTTTCGATTCTGTCTAAAGCCTAGTACGATTAAAAGCAGCCGCAACTTCCCCTGCTGCAGCGCCTTACTTCCGTTCTCACCGCGGAAGTGTAAACAGCCACCAACAAGCACTATACACCACTACAAATGAGGGCCATAAATTAGCAATCTTTTATTGGTCCCATTTGACCGAAACAGTGTGGTTGGGGCTGGTAACAAACGATTAGGAAACAAACGATAACCTTTCCTTGCCCCTTTGGTTGTTTTATTGGTTTGTCTTACAGTACATGTGTGTTGCTGAGCTAAAATCTCAGCAAGCTGGCACGGAAAATCTATCCAAAGCAATTGGTATCATGGGTACTCTCTGGACATGGGCACCCCTTAGGTTTGAGAGGGGGTTGGCACTCACTCCAGTACTCGCAGCAACGCTTCTTTTTTTCCAACTTGAAGATCGAAAGCTCACAATGTCACAAGATGTCAAATCGTTGTGGAACATGTTGAAATGATTTGAAATGTGTGTTTGACCTGTTGAACGACAACTACTGTAACTACTGAAAAACAAGGCCAACATGGGTCATTTTAAGTACAGACATGGAACATCAAGGGTTTCAATAAGTTCTGGGCAGGTGTTTGCCGTTCGATTTCCCATGACCATAGGCAAAACCCTCAGAACTTACATCCCCAATATCCCCAGTTCAAGAATCCTCATCATTACCATGCCATAAAATTTTGGTAAAGCCAGTTCATATCACATGGTACTACTGTAGGAAATTTTGGGTCTCATCATTACCATGCCATAAAATTTTGGTAAAGCCAGTTCATATCACATGGTACTACTGTAGGAAATTTTGGGTACCTCTGCCTTTTTCCCATTGGTTCATCATCATCATTTCTTCAAAATAAGAACTTTAGGGCAGGTGAATGGGTGAATCAGACCATATTCGTCGGGGTGGTTTTACACTTCCCTCACGTGGTTCCAGACTCGTTGTCTGGACCCCAAAAATCAGCGAATTTTTCAGCAGACTCGACCGCAAGAAGCGGACGAAGAAGACAGCCGGACCTTTCCGTTGCGCCACGCCCCCCCCCAGGCGTCAGAGACTAGGGCCCCGTCCTGGGTATTTCTTCCGATGGGATATAGGAACATTAGGAACCGTATGGAACCCTCTGGTAGTTTGCTATGGAAGCCATGGCCCGTTCAGTTAGAGGATTTACATGTTGAAAACGGTGATTTTCTTTAGCAAACTGTTAAATTACCAGCGGATATCGCTTAGCCTGAAGAGCTATTTACTCCGGGGGAAAAATG